AGAGCTCAAACTTACACAGTTCCCAGATAAAGAGAACTCATTGCCATGACTTTAAAGTAATTTTCTGAAAACCATCATACTCATTTCCCTTACGTAGGGGCTTTCATAATACAACACGTAACATCTGCATTTTTGCCAACAATACAACAGCCAGACTTTTTAGAACAAAATAGTTCAAATGGCATTAGCTAATATAAGGGGTGTTTGGGCTTTTTTGTAGCTACTGTGAGCACAGGAACAATTGATGCTGTTAAATATCTGTCTCATGCACCTGATAGTAAACGAAGAACAATTACAGAACAGGGATATATTTAAAGGATCTCTTTCCTACCCATTAAAAACTAACTCAGCAAGTTGACAGTAATAATGATCAAGCTTTTGAACACAGACAACAATACAGCCTTCGTGGAAGTCATCATATAGCCAAATCATAAATATGGAGTCTAAGAACTACAAATGCTAGAACCTAAAATTAACGTTGTTCTACACAAGATACAGAGCATGACAGTCAATACACTTGAGTAGCACAACTAGCTGCATCAACTCCACAATGACTGAAATCTGTACTCACTAATAACAATTAGACAAAGGGAAACAATATTCCCAATGCTACATACTGGCATGAGAACCAGAATGGCCCATTCTCTGAAGCTGTGTCATGGCAATGCCCTCCTCCCGCATGAACGCAGCACTAAGTATTCCCATATACACTAGCCCACAAGGACACATTCAACACTTACTGGGTTTCGGGAAACGCTAATGTCCTCTTGCCTCCATCCCCACTAAGGCTAATGGAGCCTTTTCGATAGCAATGGGTGGGCAGAATAATTCTGGGCAGACTAGCTGGAGACCTGAAGTAGGATGCTAAAAAACCCAAATCCTTAAACTGACAGTTAGCTTGCATATACTGCTATTGTCTCCTCTTTGCCAAACAGAATTTACTTCAAAATCATTGGAAAAATGGGGTTAACATTTTGCATAAGCACTTCAGTTATTAACTGGCTCACATTAACAATCAACTAGGCTAACATAACAAACAATTCTTGTTACTCAAACTGGCGTCATTGTAATGAGCTCCAAATTAATCTCATCCATACACAATCACTAATCTTGTTTTGTGCCAACTGAATTTTTAATCAGAACGGAGTGAATCATAGGTTGTTTTTAAAATACATTTCTAATACTTGTCATCCGAAATGAATAAACACTAAAGCAGATAAGAACTTTTCTATTTACATTCCGAGAAGCTGATTTTATTTATGCATGCTACACACACAAATATCAAATGCATACGATAGGTGAGGACATTTTTAATGAAAATAAAAAATAAATATGTTTATTTCTAACAATGTTTTGAGCATGAATAGCATCACCAACCTAAAGAATTTAGCCCTCTAACTGTAATTAAAACTGTATGACAAACCAAAATAAAAGGAACAGTTGCCCCCTGTTGCATCGCTCTTCAATCTCTGTATCATTCTAGAAGATCAGAATACACACAATCAGACTCTGCAACCAGAAGAGTAACTACTGCTGGTAAGGCATTAATGAAGCATATGTTTTGCAGTGCTGAACTTGAGACTCAACCTGAACTTCAAACCCAAGTGATTTTAACATCTGTGCAAGACACAGAAGTAAAGCTGAGTTTCAGTGAGCAGTTTCGATTTGATTTCTGCAACGGCAATACCAATTTAACAAAGCAGCTGATTAGCTCTGCTTATACCAACATGAGTGCTCGACGTATCACCCAACTGCTGAAACACAGGCCTACTCGTTTAGGAATTATTTGGAAAAAAAAAGATTATACGAAATCTTCACTTACAGCATCTATTTTTTAAAATGCAGTATTTCTGGAATCCTGTTTTAGCTGTCTGGCTAACAGCTGCTTAACTGAACACCTGTTACTGCACTTATGAAAACCTAACGTGAAGGTCTGCCCATGGCCATGGAAACTGAAGAAGTGACTGAAGTGATCTGCAGCACAGCCATTCAAATGTCTTCAGGGAGGTCTACTGAAAGCCTCCATTACAGCCTCATGAGCTTGAGGAATCTGGAGTACCTGGTTCTCATTTCAAGCTAACCATAATGCCTGACTCCAGCTATGTAACAGCATGTGATGACTTCTGCTTGGAAAACAAGACACTCAGGAAGATGACAGCAGTGCAGGAAGGATCAATGTCAGAATTCCCACAGATTCAGCAGCGCATATTACTTACTTACAGACTGTGCTCCTCATTTAATACAATCTACATGCTTTTGTGAATGGTAGATTCTGCTTTGATTGCCAGGAACTGTTGCATCGAAAGTATCTGAAGATTGCTCAAGATTAAGAGCATTAAATTCTGCTCAACATGCTAATCTATTTTTATTTGTAGCCAGCAGAAAGGTATGTTAACACATTAAAAATATTGCTAATATCTTAGAATTCAATTAAAAAGATTTTCATTAAACAGTTCTGAGATCTGTGGAAAAAAAAAAGGAGTTATTTAAATACTTGGCATAAGCAACATTCTGTTGTTAATGCAACATTCTGGCAAAAACAACTCAGCAAACCCTGTTGAACACTAAAAGGCAAAATGCAAAAGCAAAGATACATCAGGTAGATCATAGCTGCAAGGTGGAGATAACGTACTCTGATAACATCAGGATGGACTGGAGAAGAATGACCAAGGACCTTACCAAAAAGGTTACATTTATATAATGAATACTATAGCAAGGCATAATGGCCAAACGAAAGCTGTTGGCTTGTAAATTTCTTTTTTGGTTTCTTTTTAATTTATTTTAAAATAGGCTGGCTAATATCTCATTATGCATCAAGGACGAATGGCTCTTCAAGCGGCTTTCCAAGGAAGAAGACGGGAAGTTTGTTCTGTGCTTAGGAAGAAGAAAAGCAATGCTCTCAAAAGAAGTATTATTAATGACTAATGTAAGAAAGAAAGAAAGATAACTAAGGACATTTATATCCTTGTGGGTTTCCGTGTGGATCACTAGTGCTAAAGACTTCTTTTCACATGAGAAATGTGGCACTGTATCACACTCCATCTGAATAGCATTTCTTCAACATGCCCCAAATTATTTAATATCTCATTTTCTATTTGTTATTAATTTCAGCTTTCCAGCACATTAAAAGGTGCTCCTCTTCCTTTAACATCTACTGCAGAAAGTGGCTGCTAGTGTGAATGCTTCTCAGAAGGTTGTAAGATTGTGAAACATCCAAACAGAAAATGGGGAAAATAGGAGAACTGGTAAGTAAAAAGAGTGTGAAAACAATTCTAGAGTTGTCATATGAAGAAAAATCTTTTCTATAATGAGCCTAACAAAATAGCTATTCAGCAGCACTACGCCTCCTTCCCAAAGGAATTTGTAAGCTTAACAGGAAAGCGATCAGGGGAAAAAAAGAAATAAGACATTCACCTTTTAAAAATTCTATTAGGTATGCTAAAATAATTATTAAAATCAACTCTTTTATTGTATAGTTTTTCAATGTAACTTGGTACGAAGTGAATAAGGCTAAAACCAAAAAACACCATATCTGTCAAGTCTCATGTGAAGGACATGTTCAATTCTGTGGCTACTGCCTCACCTTCTTCCCCCATGACACCTGTACCCCAAAATTAAACAGTACAGCACAACAGACTCTGACTTACTTTGGCGAGCTCCCATACCTCATTAAATCACCCAGCTGCACTGGAGATGTTCTGATACAGCACAAGAGAGGCTGCACGAGAGGACTATGCAAAGGGTCTCTCCTCTAGCAAGCCTCTACACCAGGAGAAGTTCAATTAAAAGACACTTCCCAGGTACCTGTTTGTGCCAGTGATTCCCACATACTCTTACAGCCTATAAAATAAAATATATTTAAAGTATCAATTGCTTTTCAGGTCAACTTTCTAATAAAAGGTGAAAATTTTGAGAAAAAAAATAAATCGATCATGACCTACTGTGTGGGCTATCAGCATTCTTCTCAGAGCGAGCCTCTGAGTAAAACCAGAACACGGAGCTCTTCTAGCTGCTAAGAAGAGGAGCTAACTCTGTCCCAGCTAAAACCAGGACAGTGACTGAGCAGGAATTACAGTAGATCTCTCTGGCAAAGCCATACTTGTCTGAAACAGCCACTAAACTCTGCACCATAACCACAGGCACTGGACACTTATTGGAAAAAATATGCCCAAACCCTACTGACAAACAATACTGATGATGCAGAAACAAGGCTGCAGGTCTGCAAAGGCAGCAGAATGGAGCCCAAAGAGAGGAGGAGAGTAAAAGAGAAAAACACTCTGGGTTTCAAAATACTTGCCACAGAGCTTTAGTAACTACTAGGAATTCTGAGAGAGAGAAGTATTTTAAAAGCATAACCATTGTTAGATTCTTCAAAGAGGGCTTTACTACTTGAGGCTGATTTTGAATAGTGGACAAAATGCTTGTTTTCAGGTTGTGGTATTTCTTCTTCCATAGTAATAAGATTGTGTAAAAATATTTCCTCATTAAGTTAATTTTTGACCCTCTCAGCTTTTAAAAGGGTATTTCTTTGTCTTTATGGTAACCCTACCACATATGAGCAGATATCTTTCTTTGACACAGTGGTTTCAACAACATACGACCTGGTTTTATCCTTCCTCATGGGAAAACAAAAAACAACATCACTATACAACATTACGCTACTTTTTCTGGAACTAAGTGCTTTTTAAAGACACAATTGAGCAATCCTTTTTGCTGAAACAGATCTTTTAAGATGATATTAAAAAGTCATCTTTTAAAGATACTCAGAACACTTATTGTAAATGTCATCTTGTCTCCATTAAAATATTTTTTAAAAACCCTACATTTATGGATTCAACTTTAAAATCACATTAGAAGACAAAGTGTTTATACTTACATAACAGTGAGATAAAAGGGATTTTTTCTTTATTCTGCATTGCTAACAAGTTCCTATTGGTGAAATTACTTAAAATAAAAAAGACTCCGCATCGTGTAAGGTTCTCAAACAGTGAAGTACTTACATGCAAGGCAGAAGGATCTGGCAAAAATTCAGCATCCTCTCCAAAGATAAAATCTGGTGGCAGGTCAGGATAGTGAGCATTGAAAATTATATCCCCTGAAAGGTAATAAATCAAAACATCATTTGCACTATGTATGTGCTTATAAATAAATAAATAAAACATTGTACATACGATACACATTTTTAATATAAAATTTGATAGCGACATTAAATATGCTTCATGTATATACCCATATAACTTTTACAAAAATTCACATGCAAGATAAGCATCAGATGTTTTGGGGGATGAAGTCAAATTCCTGAGGCATAGCTTCTTCCTCCTCTGCAAGCAACGAAACATGAAATACATTATTGCTTCGTATCTCAAATGGCAATTCAAACACTATTGAGAGTTGCCTCAAAACACCAAGTCAGTGTTTTAAAAAAGTATCACATTTAGATTTTGTTGTGTTTTGCATATTAAGTCAAAGTCAAACACGAACTAGTAAGATATTTTCAAAATATTGGAGCTTTAAAACTTAGTAGCACTTACTCCCTCTTCTCCTCACCACTCGCAACTCTTAGAAGGAAGAATATGCAGTTCAATAGGAACCATTCCAATTATCCAAATTCTGGCTAAGAGAAATACAGTATTACGCATTTAAACAGAGAGACTAAAATTAGCTGACAATATAAAACTTCATCATATACAATTAATTACTGATGTGACCGTTCAAAGTCATTTGAGTGGTATTATTTCACTAGTAAACATAATTCAGAATTCATACAGGTCAAGAGGTGGTCATCTGCATGTGAGCTCTTTAAAAAAAATCCCAAATTCAAGAAGAAAAATATAGCTAGCATTACTCCTCTACCTTCCAATCACTCTTGCCTTTTTAATGAAGATATGAAAGGATAACTCCAAGCTTTTGCCTAACGCAGATTTGTGAGGTAGCAAGCATCAGAAGAAAGAAGTCAGCACCTAATATGTTTTAACACTTGTTTATAATCTACGTAGCAAAGTAAAACCAGTGTGGTAAGTCCTATAAACAATTATGTTCAGAGAAAGTTAAACCACTTTTAATTTTTTCAAAAATTATGAATGCAGAACTGGAGAAAAGCATTAGCTGAACAAATCTTAGAAAGCCACATTGCTGGCTCAGTGATGTCATCGTCTCAAGACATTCAACCTGACAGTTTTAATTGCTAATATTCTGTAAACTTATCTTGGCTCTAGCTGGAAGCAAAGATGCTGTAAAGATTAATTTGCAGAGGATGAGGGTTCATGACCAAGAAGCCAACAGCCAGTCTGGGGTAGGAATGCTCTACAGTATCGCTCCAAATCATAAACTCACTGATCATGCGACTCAGTAGGGCACAGTGTGGGTTTCTCCTGTCTGCTCCTACCTTCCTTTCACAAACATCAGGAGCACGTGTAAGTATGGGGTGCAGGAAAGAGTAGAAGTCTGTCAGTTAAAATATCCAACACAGCCAACATAAAAAACAATCTTATATTTCAATTCAAAGAAGAACAAATCAGGCAGCAATCCTAGAGGAAACTGCATAAAATTGCAATAGGAAATGCACTTATATTAAGTAAGGGAAAATACCTACTAGACTGCCTAAACTATAATACAGCAATGGAGAATTTAGAAAAGTTCATGTTTACTAGACTGGATAGTTCCTTTGACACCATAACTCAAGCCTTTTCTTCATATTTATTACAATTAAAAAGTCATGTATGGTTCCTTACAACAATCTCACCAATTTCTACATACAGAGCAGGCATCTCTCAAGTTTATGTGTTGAAGGAGACAGCACCATAAAACATTCTTTCACTGAGCTTTGCTTCATAGATAAAAAGGTGTGTTATGAGTAACTCGGAACACAGCACAATGAAAAAGCTTGGCCTGTGACTTCGGTAGCCCAATGCTACTCTGAAGGAGAGAATTGTATCTGTAGTTTTGCCACATTCTTAAGTGATGCTAAGTAGCTCATCTAATACATACTTTTC